GCCTCGGTTTAACCGACCCGCGCGCGCCGCCGCCGCCTCAGAGCGCCCCCAGCCCCACCCCCTCCGCACCGGCCGCCAGCCATTGGTCACCGCCGCCGCCCCCCCGAGCGCTCATTGGCCGGAAACCGGCGATCTCGTAGCATTTTACTGCAGCATTTTCTTTCAGACCGGCATGCCTTGCGCCAGCACCCCGTTCCCATAGCGACGGGCGGCGGTGGCGATGCAGGCCCAGCCCCGGGCTCGGCGGGAGCGGGGCCTCAGGGCCGCCCCGGGCCCCCCACAGCCTCCGCCGGGGCGAGCCCCGGGTACGGCCCGTCCGCAGCGCCCTGCTCGCCGCTATGCCCGGGCTGGTTACTCCCAGGCGGTGCGCAGCCTCTGCTCGGCCTTCCCCATTCTTTCCTCACGGCTGAGCCGCCTGAAGGCGGTCGGTGCAGTGGCCTGTGACTGTGGCGTGAGGGAGCCTCTCCCGGTCGCTTCTCTGGTAGGCAAAGATCGTCTCTCCCTATAGCTGAGGCAGACAAGAAAAAGAAAAACCAAACCCCAGAAAACCATACGTGATGCTTCGCAAGGCATCCTGCTGCAAAGAACATAGAACAAGAATCACAATTTCAGGTTTTGCCTAATTCTGTAGGGAAGATAGGAGAAAGTCACGGCAGGCGTGAGGATGGCGCTAATGGGTGCCAACGTGACAGGCAGATCTGGGCGAGGGAACGCTGCCCCTGGCCCGGGTGTGGCGGAATCTCTGTGAGAAAGGGTTAAGTTTGTACCTGCAGCGCTGACAGAACTTCTGGATTATTCAAACAATGGGATAAGCAGGGCAGCTTTTGCAAAAAAAAAAAAAAATAATATTAGACAAGGTCTGTAATTGGTACCAATGTTCCTAACAGGGACGAGAGGCGACCTTTCACTTCGCCCTCCACCAGAGCCCCCAGGCCCATCCTCCCTCCTGCTCCCCGTCAGGTTTTACTTTAGCCAGAAAACGGCAAAATTAAAAAAATCTAAAGACGTCAGAGGCAATTATTTGCAAAATCCCTGACGCGAGGCGTGTTGGGCGGGGGGCTGGGGTTCGGTTTACTTTCCCCGCTGCCCTGTGTATTGTACCCGGACGGGTTCAGCCGCTGGCGCTGGGGCGCTGGGGGCC